TGCTGAGCAAATTTGTCAGCCTGCTCTCTGCCTGTGAAATTTGGGGGCCCAGAGGTCTTTATATATCTCAAACACAGATAGTCTTTTTAAACCTAGGCAGGTGGCAATTTTTCCAATATAACATACAACTCTCTCAAAAATTTTGTGGGTTTTCCATGTAGATTCCAGTCAACTACATGTGCTGAATGCCTTATCCACAATTCTTTTAGAGACATGTGAGTACTTTGCTCATTTATGAGTTCCACCTTTGATCTCCTTACGGGGTCTTGACAAAGGGTGTGACAGTCACTTTGTTTTATTTTGTCTTTGCCATATGGCAGTGTTCTAAAGCCACACCTTTAGAGAGAAGTGGTTCAAGTTTTCAAACTTACAATTCTCAGAATTTCTCAGTTCTTTCAGTTTCCCTCAATCCTGCTTGAAAGCTAGTCAGTTTTTTTCCAAGTTCATTTCTTTCCTGTTGTTACTTCTCAAATGTGGCTAATAGCAGCCAACTATACCACGAGTATTCTGCCTCAGAAATTTCCCAGCCCATGCTGTCAGTGCACTTGGCACATTCTTTTTCCTTCTAGGTTACTGCTGCAGTCAGTGGTTTTATCAAATGTTTTCTTTCTATACAGGATGCGTTGTTGTTTTTCCAGTTTCTTATTACAGGTTATTTTTTTTTTTTTTTTTTTTTATAGTTTCCTCTCTACTTACTACATGATCCCAAACCAAATGATGCATATTTTACAGGATTTTGACAGCAGAAGGCCATTTCTGGTATAATTTCTATACTAATTAGCAATTGCCACATTAATGATGGGTGATAAGCCTCACATTCAAACCCAAACATCAGAGGCTCAAACAACAACTACTTATTTTCGTATGGATGGTCTCATGGGTTGGCTGAAACAGCACTACTTCAGGTTATGGGGGGAATTGGTTCTGGGCCTCCATTTAGGTTCAGTTTTGCTCCAACGATGTCTTCATTCTTTGAAAAGTGATAACTTATGACATATTTCTTGTAAGGAATGGCAAGAGGTCCAGGACACAGGTAGCACACACAGCACATTTAGAGTCTGGGTTCTCATCAAGTCTGCCAACATTTAATTAACCAAAGCAAATTAGTCACATGACTAAGCCTAATATCAGTTGGGTGGGGGGCACCAGGGTGGCTCAGTTGGTTAAGCATTGGACTTTTGATTTTGGCCCCAGTCATGATCTTACAGCTTGTGGGTTTGAGCCCCAGGTCAAGCTCTGTGCTGACAGTGCAGAGCCTGCTTGAGATTCTCCCTCTCCCTCTGTCTCTGACTTCCCCCCTGCTCATGCTCGCTCGCTCGCTCTCTCTTTCTCAAAATAAATAACTAAACTAAAAAAAAAAAAAATCAATTGGGTGGAAGTCATTTTCTACCCATAGTTACACAGCATGCGTTTTACAGCAGGGAAGGAATCACGAATGAGAACATGTTGATCTAGCACACGTGCAAATAAGAAAATATCAACTAGTACAAATGATGTTGAGAAAACAAAGCAGAGTAGTGTGTGGAGAATGACCACAAAAGTGTTAAGAATAGTTTCTTGGAGATGACATTTAAACTGAAGCTAAATGTCTTCCAGGCAGAGGGAATAGAGTGTAAAGACCTGGATGTGGGGATGAGCTCACGGTGATGGAGGAACTGGAATAAAACCATGGGGGGGATGGTAGGAGATGAGATCAATGAAGCAGGTAGAGGTCAGGGTATTTAGACTTCTGTTATAATTACTGCTATATACACTATCATACTGGACATTTCAGAGGATTATTTACCAAAATGCTGAAAATAAATTGTGAGTTTCACTGAATGTCATGATAATTCATGAATAGGGTAGCTGAATCAACCAATCTGGAAGGTTTTATATACATTGAATTGTATAATCAATTCTAAATAATGTACCTTTCCACTGGTTCTTACTGGAATGTTGACCTACTAAGGTGTTTCAATGGAACGGCTGAAGATACTAAGAATTCTTGACTAGAGAGGTACCAGCTAAAATACTCAAGAGAGAAAATGGAAGCCTCTGAAACTGTTTGGTTCCTTAACAACTCCAGGTACTTATTTCCCCCTGGACTTCTTAGAGCTAAATGGAGATATAAAGGCGTTGGAGATGCCTTTCTCCCCTTATTCTCACCCTTGGGAAAACCTCTTATTCCTTTGCTGCCCAGAGGGTTTTCTAGATCTGAAATACCAACAGCTCTCATTGCTGGTGATATCTCTTCCTGGGGAAGTTATGTGCTGGTGCTCTGGACAGGGTGGCCACCGGGGGTGTAAACTCTAGAGGTACAGCCCATGCCCTTGGGAAGTTCATGACTAATCAGAGTGAAGGATGACTTTAACCGGGGGCACACTCACCACCACAGAGAGTGTGGTCACATGCAAGGTTGGTTATAAGTACTTCCATATTTTACTAAACCAGAAACACAAAGATTCTAAACATCCAAATACCCCAAATCATGAGGTCTTAAGCACTTCCTAGAAAAGGCCATTGATCATTGTCCTTTGTGAAAAATATTAAAATTGGTATTCAGTTAGACATATTTTCTTCTGTCCTCATCTTTCCCTAGACTTAAAGAAAAGAGAACTATTCCCTTTTCAAATACATGAAAAAAGTAAGTCAAAACCAGCGACAGGGAGAACCTACCACTGTCCCTGGGATAGAATGACACCACTACACGTGTGCCCTTGATTTCTATTAAGAACGGCCAGCTAGATAGGTGAAAACAACACAGCTATACATTTTCACCGCAACGTCTTTTAGCAAGAAAGGGGCTGTGTCTAGATGAATCCGAATATGCCGGCTGGCAGAGCTCACACCCAGTAAGGCAGTTTTGTAGGAGAAATAAGTGCGACCGTGTTTATTTCACACGCATTTGTTTGTCAGACCTTAAAGCACCGGCCAGAGATCAGTTAAGCTTTGCCACCTGTCCCATAGGCTGCACCTCATTTTCAGGTGGGTCTCTGAGGTCATTAGCACTGAGGCAGCTCATCCTCTGTTCAGCTCCTGTGGCACAAGGTAGGATAGGAATCCCGCCAGGAGGAGGACGTGGGTCCTGGCTCCTAACCATCCCCGCTGGACTCCAGCTGCCAGCACCGCCCAAAGAAGAGAGCGTGCTGCCCGGCCTGAAGGAAGCTCCCAGCCTAGGAGAGTGTCAGGTTAAAAGCCTGTAGGATGGTTCAATCAAAGGCATCGCCTTCCTCTGTCCTGTGCTGCTGTTGTATGTGGGAACACATGCGGCTAGGAGACAAAGAGGACACGCGTTTATTTTCAGGCGTAGGACTTGGGAACCACTTGGGAAGAATATTCTTGATTGAGAACCAAAACATTCCATGATGCTTAACAAACCTGCAAATTGAAAAATCAGCATCGGCCTATGCAGCCAGGAAGCAGTAGAAGGACCTATACCCTGAAAAAAAAATTCAAAATATTCCTTAAATGATATTTGTGTGCCTTTGCAAAATTACCGCTTTCTGAATCAAAGTCTCAAGCTGTTTTCATCTGAGAACATATGTTGTGCCGTTAGACAATATCTCAGCTGCCGCCGCCCATGACATACCCCGCCGCATTGCATAATGGACAGTCCCGCGAAGAAGGCGCTGGCGGCTCAGTCAATGCCCCTGTAATAATATTTTAAAATAAATGATATGCATCATTAAATCACCGAGGATGACTAACTCAATTTTAGAAAACCCACAACTCCAGCAATCATAGTTACAGCTCTGATTTGAATATTTTCACTTTCACCTGAGCAGCCAGTGGGAGCCAGTCAAGCAGATTCGCATCCAGGCTGTACTCTCAAAGGAGCAGGAAGGAACCCGTGATTATGTAGTTACAGTAACGTCGGCTCCATGCCTCCTGTCCGCCTGGGCTTTTTAGACTTTTCCTTCCTCCCTTCTTGCCTTCTTATTTACATATCACAGGCATCCTCTTTGTAAAGTTATTTTAAATAATTTATTAGATTGATCTTTTTAAAATTCTACCCTGGCTAAATGTCATAAGGAGAGAGAGAGAGAGAGAGAGAGAGAGAGAGAGAAGTCTTCTAAACTTATTTAAAGGTTTCTACTGGAGTAGGCCAGTTACCTGCTTCACTGCTGATATTCTAAAAATACCTCCATGTCCGTACTATTATCCATTCTTCACGTCCAATTGCTCTGTTATGGTAATAGTCAGAAGCACACCATGCAGTAATTACTTACAGCTGACTGAAGAAAAGAATATTCAACTCCCCCACTGTTCCACTAGAAGGTCTTTATGCACTATTAACTCATTCCTGTTTATTAATACTCTACTGGTAATTCAGACTGCTGCCTCTCAGGTTTGTAATAGGAGGACTATTAAACAGCAATTACTGACCATATGGGTTGGTGAATATTTGTTGTGTGGTTGGTTGTTTTTTTTTTTTTTTTGGTGGGCTCCCCCCACCACCCCCTTCCAATTTGTTTTTTAAGAAGCCATATTACAACATAGTCAAAGTAACATCGCATCTGCATGAGATTAACAGGCTTGGCAATATTTCTCCTTTAGAAAATGCGCATTTATTCCCAGATTATCATTGCTGGCTTAGGAGAATGAGATCAAGGGAGAAAGAGGGAGATGTGGAAGACTGTGTACATGTGGGAAGACCACTATCTTGGAATATATTTTGACTATTACCTTCCCTGTGCCTCTCAGTAGGCTTTTTTTCTCTTACTGCCTTTGACAAGCACTAACCTGCCCTCAACTCCGACAAAAATAAGCAGTATGTATTGAGGAATCCAGATTGAACACCATTTTCCCTTTCAAGTTCCCCCAAGCATTTGGAAGTAGCCACTTTAAAATTTAACATTTTGTAAGTGCATCTCCCAAAGAGCAAGTATGTAGAACCCTGGGAGATGGCAAAAGGACCCTCCTGGGCAAGGGATGGCATGAGTAATGGGTTCAAGTGGGGCAGGCAGTTGGTAAAGGATGATTAAGGTAATAATAATGCATGCCTCTCTCACAGGTAGTGAGGTCTAAGCATGTGGCAAGCATTAAAAGCAATGGAGAGGCATCTTCAAGATAAATAGGAGCCTAGGAGCTGATCTCCATGCAGAAGATGATGAGTTGAGATCCTGCGCAGGTAAGTCACTTGGTGGGCCACCTCTGCTGAGACAGGGGCAGGGAGGTGTCCAGGCTCTCCACACAGCCAGCTTTTGCTCCAGAGCAGCCAGCCTCCTTAGAGCTCCGTGGGCTTTGTCTTCCACTTTCTCCCCTTTCTCCTGAGGATCATACTTTATGTCCAAACCCTTTTAGGCCTTCAATGAACAGGTCAAACCTCTGAAAATTCGAGATTGCCCCAATCTCACCCTTTTTATTCTGCCAAGCGAATTGAATTTAGTATTTAGTGTTTACCTTTGGTAGGTGATTGTTGCTGGTTTAGCACTCTTCCTTTGTTACCTGCTGCTGTTGTGTCTGAGAGTGCTTTCTCTCAGATACACCCTAAGTCCTTGAAGACAGGCAGCATGTTCTTTAAACTTTGCTTCTGTTTATCCCTGCACCTCGTTTGCTAATGGACATTCATTAGGTGTTGAGCAGAGGTTGGAAGAATTCATTGGAAATCTATAAGGGAGAAGAAGACACCCGTCCCTAAATATTCTTACTCTGTGGAGATCTAGGCGTTACAGTGTCTGTGTTAAGTATTGAACAACAAACAAACAATAACAAAAATAAACAGCAAAAACAAAATGACAAATATCAGCTGCAGAGCATAACAGTACCAAGCTAACGTATAAGATATAACTGATCTTCAGTGAAATGAATATGTTAGATCACAGCTTCTTCATAGTGGGTCTAAGCCCTAATGAAATATGCAAGAAATTTACTTCATGCATGACCTGATTTGAACTAGAATCCTGGGTTGCCCACAACCTAGAGGATCCTCAAAGGGAAGGGGTGCTTCTGGAAGAATCTCTGTGGTGAACACCTTTAAGAAATACAGCACCATAGGCTCAGTGTGCCCCCAAATCTTTCATGGATTAAAGGACTTAGTAAGCACCTTAGAGATGAGCTACTCTGGTGGATTTCCAAAGTGATTTGTTTGTTATTGTGTTACTGTTGCTTTTAAAGCAGTATTTATTTTTTCTAATTAAGCATTATGCAGAATACTGATTCAGATTAAGATAGGACAGCTCTGGCTGAAGTCAGGTGGGAGCTGTGGATGCCCAATTTGATAACTCAGCTGATAAAGCCACAGAGGCCCTTCTTAGGAGACCCTACCATTCCTATGTGAAACTGTATGAACATGATATGAAAAATATTTTTCTACTCCAGCCCCCTTTTGATACAAATGTATAGACTAAATGCATAATTTCAAATCCACAGTTAGACAGCAGTGGAATTATCCCTGGAATTCAATCTCTTGGTTAATTAGCCAAATTTTTTTCTGTATTCCCCACTTGTGCTAGTGGGTTATATCTTTGTCACCAGCAGTCCACTGTTAGTAGGTACGCATGGGAGGTTGGAGGACCAATACACTGGGCCTCCTCTTAGGACACAGCTGAGACAGATTTGAAGTCTAACGAGTCAAGGTGAATTGGCTGGAGTAATGGAAGCCCTGGATGACCTTAAATGCCAAGCATGTGGGTGGGGGAGGTGGTTGTCCTCTAGTTGGCACTTGTGCAGTTCACGATGAAAGTCTCTGCACTGGCTTCAGCTCAGTTTGGGTAGTACATTTGCCTGGTCTTTGGTCACACGTGCATACCCATTTTTTAATCCAGCCTGAGTTGAGTGGAACTACCACAGGGACTTACTGAGAGTGCTGGAAATTATGCTTCTCCTGCTCATAGCACCATATAGGTTATGCTATCATCTTTTATAGTGCTTAAAAGTTGGGCAGCGAGGGGGTGGGAGTATCCATATTGCAGACTACCCTTTCATTCTTTCGTGGATAGATGCAGCAAGACGTAAAAAACAGTATGGCGTGGGTGCTCAGAGGACCTGTATTCTGGACCAGATTTTTCACTGGTTAGCTGGGTGTCTTAGGGCCGTATTATTCAACTTCTCTGTACCCTCATGTCCTCATCTGTAAAATAATGCCTTCTGGCCTAGATTTGTTTCTAAAATATATTCGGCTTTACTAGGCCATCAAAAAATATAATGGTCTTTATATAGTCACTCTGAGTTAAATTGTATTAAAATAAAACAAATGATTATAAATAGTCACATTATGAATAAAATGCTCCTATATGCCAAGAATTTTAAATTAGGCTGCATGACAAAAACATTTATTTCTGATATCAGTGAAAACTGGGGATAAGTCAGTAAAGATGGTATTAAGCCTTGTAAATATCATCCAACTGTGACTTGGAACTGTGGAGCTGTCCCCATGGGTGAGAACATCTGGGCAGCCTCTTGGCTTCATTTCAGGCATTCACTTATTCAGTACATACTCACTTTGTTCCTACCCTATCTCATTTTTCAATTCATAAACATTAAGTTGATGCCATCAAATAACAATCATTGTTATTCAGTGCATCTTTAAGTAAGAACCTGTTACATCTGCAGCAGTGTTTTCATTGAAGTTGATGATAATGATGATGATAATAATAATAATAATAATAATAATAAAATGATGAGTCCCTGACTGTGAGGAGCCAATACTCTCATTCAGAAAGGCAAAGATAAATAGCTTTACGTGACAGTGAGTAATTAGGGTCCAAGGGAAAGATAGAGGCTATAAGGCTTGGGAGTGTGGGGGACTGGTTCTGTGGCTAGTATGGACTGGAAGGGTTCTAGCACACCTCTGGTTATTCCTTGACATGTGATAATATTAGCACAGGTGGAGAGAATGAGAGAGGTCACTTAGGTAGGGGAACAGTATGTACAAAAAGCAGTGAATTGGAGAATTGGAGAAGATTAAGAAGTGTATGAGTTTAGTGTAGATCCAAGTCCATCTGGAGAAAAGGGTTTCCATAAGAGATTAGTGGAAGCAGTAAGTAAAGAGTCTTGCATTTTGGAGAGGTAAGATAAGTCAGGCGAAGAATCTTGGCTATTATCTCACTGACAGAGAGGGTTTTTTGTTTGTTTGTTTGTTTGTTTTGATTTTTCTTTATAAGGTGTTTTAGTCAGTGGAAATGTTTTTGTTAATAAAATCACAGAAGAGTCCTTTGGACCAACACAGAAAGAAAAAAGGAGACTGCAGAAAACCACTGGGGGAGCATGTGAGACCAGAGAGAGATTTTAAAACCTCAGAAAACATGACTGAGGCAGCAGAGCTTAGAGGGCCCATGGCAAAGGCAGAGACCACATGGAGCCTCCATTTTGGGGTTCAGTTTCCCTTGCTCGGGATACTGTGGGCTAGAAGGTAGTGATGGGTGCAAAAGGAAATGTCTGGAGGAAGGCACTGGAGAAATAGAAGAATAAAAGGAAGGAATGGGGAGGAGATAGATGGAGACAGAATCAGACAAAAGTGAGGGATGACAGGAACAGAGAGCACATGGTCAATGAGGTGGAAGACGAAGTTAATCAAAATTATGTGGTAGGTTGGAGTTCAACTCACAGATTCAGATGTGCAAGTAAAAACAACTTTTTTTTTTTTTTTAATTTTATTATTCTTCTCTTTCATGGCCCTGTTCTGCAGGAGACAGTCATGTCAACTCAATCTCTGTAACTTTCTCTCATCAGATCCCTGAGGTTGTCTCTCATTTCCAGGGCCTTCAGTGGTACCAAGGTGATGGAGGTGGCTGGAGGGGATGGGGCTTCTGCCCTGGGTGCCATCTGTCCACTGGGCTTGTGTCAGTCCTGCTAGTCACCAGTCCATACAGATCACCCCCAAGGCAAGCTGCGTTCATCCCTATCGCGCATTTAGGGCCTCCCAGGGCTCTTCTCTCTCACTGCAGAATCATGGTGCCTGTACCACACTAGGGGTGGGCAAGTTCACAAGCCCATCGGCCTGGAAGGAGCATGCAGTGCCATCTTCCCCACAGAGTTGCTGTATTGCCAGGTGGCTCTTCCCTGCTTTCACAAAACAAAGGTACTTGAGGTTTTGTCCCCTTGCCTTACCCCCACCTCCAGAGACCCAATCCTGCAGCAGGAGCAGCCTCTTTCTCCTCCATTTTCCTCCTGCCCTACAAATGCAGGCAATTATCTCTGTTTTTGAGCACATCCCATTTATGATGAGGCTGAAACACTTTATACACAGGGAAAATGACATAGAGGGTTATGTGACTTACTCAAGGTCACACATCTCATCAGTGAAAAAAAATGGATAAAAATGAAAATATGCTAGTTTAACCTCCTTTTACTTTTCCTTCCACCTTCCTTCCCTCCTTTCCTTTCCTCTCTGTTCTTATCTCTCTTTGTTACTTTCTTTCTCTGCCTTCCTCTCGGTCCCCAGAAGGAATTATTATGTGCCAGGTAGTACATAGATCCTGGGTATCCCATACCAAACGAATGAAACATGCTGCTTTGGTGAATTGTGATTCTAATAGGAGGGATGGACATTGCGCACGTACATACACAGACTCATAATTTAAATTGTCATCAGTACTCTGCTCATTCTGGCAGCAAATACACTAAAATTGGAACGATACGGAGATTAGCGTGGCCCCTGTGCAAGGATGACAGGAAAACTCATGAAGCATTCCATATATTTTAGAGAACAAACTGATAGTTACCAGAGGGGACGTGGGTGGGGAAATGGGTTGAACGGGGTGAGAAGTACACTTGCGGTGAGCATGGGGTATTGTATGGTAGAGTTGAATCACTGTGTCATACACCTGAAACTAATAATATAGTGTATGTTCACTAACTGGAATTTAACTAAAACATAAAAATATAAATTGTGGTCAGTACTGTGGCTTCTATGAGAAAGCACAAGGGAGAACTTAATTTAGATTAGGCAATCAAGGAAGATCTTTCTAAGGAAGACACATTGGAGCTCAGAACTCAAGACTGGGATGAGATCATTCCAGATAGAAAGAATGGCGTAGGCAAGACTTGATATGTCCATGGAGCTCAAAAACACTTGTGTGACAGAGGTACTTCAAAAGGGAAAATGGAACAAGATGTGGATGGAGGAAGCGACAGGATCAAAGTCGAAGAGCTATATTAGGCAAGTCAGAAATTTGGATTTTATTTTAAGCTTAATTGAAAATCAACTTAAATAGTGGAATGACATAATCTGATTAACATTTAAAAAATTCTTCCAGCTGCTCTGTGGAAAATGAATTGAAGTAAGGATGGATGGAAAAGAAGAGAGTAGTGGGAGTTGGGGTCTCTTCACGTAGTCCTGGGGAGAGGTGACGTGGCTTTGGAGCAGCACCTCCAGGTGCAGATGGAAAGAAATGGAAGAATTAGGTCACGTCATTGGAGGAAGAGTTGACAGGTTATTGGATTTGAAGCATTAGGGGGACTGATGTCCCCGGTTTCAGACATGAATGACTGGTGGTATGTTGTTCTATTTACTCATGAGGAAGACTAGGAAAAGAATAGGTTTGGATGAGAAGGGCTTGATTTCGTCTCATGGTGTTGTGACCATAGCAGAGACAACGGTGGAAGTGAACTCAGTGTTTCCAATCCCTGAGCATGAGGAAGAAAACATTTACTAGCATCCCTTGTCATCAATTGCAATCTTTCAACCAGTTTCAAGAAAATGAATTTTGAGGGCAGTAATGTCATTTTCTGTCCAACTCATGTGACACCCCCCCCCCCCCATTCTGTAGCATCTATAGAGGCTGTCTTTTCTAGATGGTACAACTGAAAAATGATGGGGCCTTTTTAGCCTGGGTTCCTGAGTGACTGCCTCAGAGCTCTCTGCTCACCCTCAGTGTATGCTTCACATGAGTGGGGATACACTGAGATTATGAGAATCGATTGTGAACTCTTAAGGAATTTTCCAAGCTGCTTATTAGGTACAACCACCATTAAAAATTAAACAAGGAAAACTTAGATTATTTTACAAACAAAGGTAATATACATTCGACATGTATCCTTTCCCAGTTATTTTACCACATTCATCTATACTCTTGAGATGTTTAGGTCAATTGTATTCCTGTGGTAAATAGCACAGGATGGTGTGATACTGGGCATAACTTCCCCACTCTGTCTTCAATGACATTGTGCTAGGAGCCCAAACTCAGCCATGATGTGGGTATTTATACCTTGGAGGTCAACACATGCTGCAAATCAGGGCTTGAAGAATTGTTGTGTTGATTATTTACACTTATGCAAGTTGTGAGGAAAATGTCAGTAATACAGATTAACAGTACCTTGGGTTTGTAGCTGTTACATTGTGAATAGCATTCAAAGTTAAGAGAACATTCAAAACTATTATTTTATTCTGCAAAGAAGTTGCCAATGACGAGTGAAGCTCTAACAGTCATCTGGACAGTTTCACTTTTATCTAACTTGTCAATGTAAACAGGTTATTGAATCAGAGATGGAATAAACAGGTGTGGTTTTTGTTTGTTTCTTGCAATAGCAAGAGTGAGTAGTGTGTTTCTTACTATCTATAGGTAGTCTTTATAGCAATGGGTTTGTTTGCCTTTTTTTTTTTTTTTTTTTTGATATGGGGTAAAAGACTTAACAGTCTCAACAAAATCCTATGCTGAGACACCAATAAAGCTACACGAATTCAGGGTGAAGAAGGAAAACCTCTTTCTTTCTTTCAGACCCAGCTCTAACTCCTCACCACCTGTTGTTCATTCTGCATCCTATAATTCTCTCAACTTAATCTTCTTCTTCTCTCTCTCTCTGCTGACGTTGGCCTAGTCGAGCTCTTCATCATAGTTTGCTGAGTTCAAAATAGTTCCAGTGTGTCCCTCTGGGACTTCTGCCACATTGCTGCCGGAGGTATTTACTTTAAAATTATAAAATTGGATTCAGGGATTGCAGAAGTGTGGGATAGAGATGCAGTAGAATATTATTCATCCATGGGAAAGGGAGAGAATTCCACTATTTGCGCCAAGGAGGATGGACCTTAAGGGCATTATGCTAAGTGAAATAAGTCAGAGAGAGACATATATGTATAATATCACTTGTACATGAAATATAAAACAGCCAAACTTAGAAAGACAGAGTAGAGTGGTAGTTACCAGGGGCTGGGGGAAATGGGGCAATATTGGTCAGAGGTTATGAGCTTCTGGTTATAAGGTTAATAAGCTTGGGAATCTAATGTACAGCATGATGATTATAGACGATAATACTATATCGTATACTTGAATGTCAAAAAGGGTGTGATATTAAATATTCTCACCATGAAAAAGAAGAAAACAGTAATTATGTGACACAATGGGGGGAGTAAATAATACTATGGTGGTGATTATTTTACAATTTGTAAATCTATCAAATGAACACATTGTAAAACTTCAACTTAGACAGTGATATGTCTCATTTACATCTCAATAAAGCTAGCAAAAATAAATTAAAAAATATAATAAATGCTGGTCCTCCTGGTCCAAAAGACTACTGTCTGGACACTTCGGTGTGTATACAAGCCCTTGACCATGTGTCCTATTCTACTCTTACACCTTCACTTCCATCTCTCTTACTCCTTCACACAGCCCCTGCCATAGGCCACGTCACCACTTGCTTGTCTCTGAACATGCCATGTGCTTTCACACGTTCATCCATTGGGGCACCTGGATGGCTCCAGTCAGTTAAGCATTCAACTCTTGCTTTCAGCTTAGGTCCTGATCTCTCAGTCTTGAGATCAATCCCCGCACTGGACTCTGTGCTGAGCGTGAATCCTGCTTGGGGTTCTCTCTCTTCCTCTCTGTTTGCCCATTCCCTGCTTGTGCACACACATGTTCTCTCTAAATAAATAAGTAAACAACAACAAAAAGTCCATCACTTGCCCCACTTTTCTACCTGTGATCTCATTATTTTAAAGCCTGGTCAAATGTTACCCTGTCCTTTAAGCCTTCCTCCATCTCCCCACATTGTGATCCTGCCAATGTGCCCCTAATGCTCTTCTGTCTCGCAGCACGTTGTCTCATAATCACCCAGGTAGGTTTGTGACCAGTCCACCAGCCATGAGGGCAGGCACCTCAGATAGCCCAGTGCTCAGCACAAAGCACTCCAATTTTTTTGGATATTTCTTTTCCCAAGTGATTTGCATAGAATTCGGAACCTTCACTGATATCATCTATAGCCCTGGAATTAAGTACCATTTATTGAAAAACCCGGGATTCCTGACCAACTTGCTAAGTAGTGATTTGCCTAAGATGAACTGCATATGTGGCAACTTGTCCAAGATCTTTATCGTAAGTCAGGCACAAGACACCACTGACTTATCTGAAGGCGTTTCATGGTACACATCTGAACATGCTTTCTTCAGGCCAGGAGCTTCCCAGCAAACAGTTAGGTTTGATGAACATTTTCATATGCATTTGTCTAATTATATGCTGAATAATTGCTAGATTAATTTATTTGCAACTTAGACAGTGTACTCTAATGTTATGTTTGTTGTTGTTGTTTTACTATTTTCAAAAGTAGTAGATCCAGAATGATGCTTGGGACTGAAAGCTCAATGTTCTCTAGTCCATAAAAAGTGAATGACATCATAAGAGTGTTATATCCAAGCTCTTCTCACTGATATATGCTCCTTCACACTCATGCATAAGGTTCAGACATGTGGTGTTAAATAGTTAAAACACATTGATGTTAATTTGTGAAAAAGTGTGACTAATATATTGTGTGTGTGTGTGTCTGTGTGTGTCTGTGTGTGTAGTGTATCACTACTACTAAGAGTAAGTAGACAAAGTAAGGTTTATTCCCATGTATTAGCTGCATGACTGGTATATCACTTAACTGTTATGAGCTGAGTTGTATTCTCCCAAAACTCTTATGTAGGAGTCCTACCCCCCAGTACCTTAGAATGTAATTGTATTTGGGGACAGGACCTTTAAATAAGTAAAGTTAGAATGAGATCACTGGGTGACCCTAATCCCAAATGACTTATATTCTTAAAGAGGAGATTAGGACACAGACACACTCATAGAGGAAAGATCTTTTGAAGATACTGTGAGAAGCTGGCCATCTATAAGCCAAGGACAGAGGCCTGGAACAGACCCTTTCCTCATGGATCAGAAACAAACAAACAAACAAACAAACAAACATAAAAACTAACCCTCCCAACATGATGTTGGAATTCTAGTCTCCAGAATTGTAAGAAAGTAAATTTCTGTTTTTTAAGCTTCCCAGTCTGTGGTGCTTTGTTATGGTATCTCTAGCAAACCAATACACTTACTCTCTAGGATTTGGGACATCTCACACATTAATGGGAAGTAATAATTCATCCTTTACCATTGCCACCATGATGGTGTACACAAAATCATACTGTAACTCAGTAGCATACAAGTTATTTTGATCCATGCTTCAGTGGGTCAGTTGGGCGACTCTGCTTTAGACTGTGGGGTGAGTGAGAAAACTGTTCATTCTGGGCCTTAAATCGAAGGGATGATGACTATCTGAGCAATGTTCTTCCCATGACAGTGAACAAAGTGCAAGATAAGTCCAAGCACACAAGCATATTTAAACTCTGCTCTCACACATCGTGTCATATCCCATTGACAAAAGCAAGTCATATGACCAAGCTCAATGTCAATAGGTGGGGAAATATAGTTGGAGCATCATGAGGCCATAGCAATGATGTAAATATATGAGAGAATGAAGGGTTGGAGACAATGATTTAATATATACCATTTGTTATGCAGAGGCAAGAGGCTGGACGTGATGACTTTTAAGGCCATTCCTCTATAAGATGTATGGTTCCATGGCACTTACTTACAGTCAGCCTTAATTGAGAGCTTACTCTGCACCAGATCCTCACCTAAGTTCTTTACAAGGGTTAGGTTATCCAATTAAACCACACAAACCTATAGCTCATTATGGACAATATCAAATATAAGATATGAATCTTGGTATAACATATCACCTGGTGATATGCCATTTGCAGACACTTCATATACAGTCCTCAGATTCAGAATAGGTGGGTAGACATTCCAGATGAGGCAAAGCATCCACAAAGCAGCAAGTTCATTGACAAATGGCATTAGACTTGTTTTGACCTTTTACATAACTTTAATTACAGGACACAAGCAAACACACAATTCAGGTCTTGCCTCCAAATGGACATTTGACTTACCTATCAAGATGTATCAGAAATAAACTTTTAGAAGATATTGTCACAACTAAGATGATATATAAACTCCATGTTCTGTGATGCCACAGCAGTGGCACTCATGGTAGGGAAGCCTGGAAGATTGGAGTGGCCCCTCTCAATCCTGCCCCACAGATGTCGATACCTGCACTCTACTTTTTCCTTCTGGCTCAGAGAAGTGTTTAATTTTTGCCTAATAAATATAGGCCAAACCATGCTAAATAGTCTTTATGAAATATCGAGATTCAAGAATATCATTGCATGATTCTTGCAGCTGATTCCCATGGCCTCCAATTCAGATCCTGTTCCTTTAGGAAGGATGTGAAATCATTGCTAAATATCAGCTTTGAAGACATAAGATGAAAATGGTTGTTATTTTCCCCTCTTCTCTGGAAACCCTACTGATTCCCATTAAGAAGCAAGTTAAGCTATTTTCATAGAAAACTATGTGAAATGGCCCTTTCTAGAATAGCAGATATCAGTGCTTTGAGGATATATGTAATCAGGAACACTATATATTTTGTGACATATTGATTAGATAATAAGTGAATAAATCAGAAATCTTGTATAGGAAATGTTTTTACAACATCCAAGGTACTTATTAATAATGATCTTTTTTACCAAATAATACCAAAAACTGCTATTAATATCGATCATAGGACCGTTTGTAAATTTTCAGCCACAGTTATGTCTCTTGCATATATTTGATCCCTATGATAAATAAGGTGGATTTTCCCCCATTCAATAGAAACAAATAGGACCCCAGTAATGGAGAACATTTGCCATAGATCAAATAACAATGTGGAGTTGGAGGAATCGCTGGAACCTTCACCTTTGTAACAATCTTTAAGATCTAGGGAGAGACAAGAGCTGCCTAACAGTCCTTTACATATGCTGATTCATTCCAGTTTGGGTTGTTTTCACTATAAAATTTAGGAAGGCAGCGTGTAAAATGGTCCTTGAGCTTTGCTGAGATTTCTCAAAGGCAGTCTGAGGTCCACGTTAGCAGTACATACTGTTAGGATAAGAATAACCATCAGTATTTCACAGTATGTGTTCACTCCAACATCCAGATTCCTATTTGGCCTTCCAATTTGGGCCAGTGTGACATCCTAACAAAAGGTAGTTTAGTCACCTTGGTAAATGACTTTATGTAGGTTATTCTTACAGGATGTAGTTCTACAGAGCAAAGAAAACAAACCCGAACATAAACAATGCTGGAGCAGGTGTTCTAGCCGTTGGAGAAAAGTCATTAGAGTGACATTACTCAATCACTTTGTTTCTCTTATAATAATATATTATTTATTAGAAGCATTGCTTTTTTTTCTGTCTGTGTCACTTTTTATAAATTTCACATCTAACATTTTTCCCCTTTGGGTATGCCACAGCAGAAGCAAGTTATGCTTGCGGAAGGTGAGCCAGTAATCCTGTTTTGACTAAAGCTCTTTCCTAAGCTTATTTAGAAACCAACAGAACATTTAGTAAGACACTGCTGATATATATATTTTTTTATCTTTTATTTGGGTTTCTCAAATCTGAAATGTTGCATTTTAGAGCTTAAAGAAAATTAAATCAAAAGCAAAAACAAAACCTTTTCCTTATGTCCCTGCATTGGAAAAGATGAAAGGAAGAGTATCTGCATTAAATGATTCTATGAATGCTTTAAAAAGCAGACCAAACACAGATATTCATGGTAGTGCATTTTCTTCCAGTGTGGAAAGAGCAGTGATACTGTGGAATGTTTTCCCCTCAACATACCAATTGATTCTATTTTCTAGGTATCTTATTTAGTAAAATTAAGCAAAGCTTCTGGATTTAAAGGCTTCAAGTGAAGACAATAGAGTGTGTTAAGTAGCCAGCTAATATTCTGCTAAAAACCTGACAGCCCTCAGGGAGGCCTCATAGAGTGTCTATTATTGGATTGTGAGTCTCATCCGACATGTTTCTGATTTGGGTAACTCCAATTCTAGCCCATTCCCTCGCCATTTCAAGCAGCACTATCGCAGTTCAGGCAATCAACAGAGACCTGGAGGAAGAGAACATTAGATCTGCTCTTGGGAACACAGGGGAGACAGCAAGTTAAAACTGGGGCATTCGCCTCCAAATTGGGGCATGTGGTGCCCTTACAGACAAGACTCTCCTCAGAAACTTCCTGTCATTCCCTTGAGACTGCATCGAGTTAGCTTGGATGTAACACTATGAAAATGCTACAGATGCAGCAGGAGAAATAATTTCTTTTCCTAAGATGATTATTGCAAACAAAGAACTCATGTCAAAAATAAGTAAACTTGTCTGAGGAGTTTAATAAGCACTGGCTGGTTGGAAGGAGAGGGAAGGTGAAACTTGGAAATTTTGTACTTCCTACGTGTTCATCTTCTATAGTCTGGCTTGGGTGAATAGGGTCACTCAGAAAGGAAAGTAGGCCAAAATGAGAAGCAGGCAATAAAAAGGAAATTTTTATCAGGAAGTTTCCTGTATTATTGATAGTGTCATTGTGCACCTAGTGTTTCCACTGGAAACATCAAATATGCACATAAAAAAGTGCTCATGAGCAGAGTCCCTTCACAATTAGGCAAACTGATGGAAGACAAAAATTCTTGGGGATTTTGGGAAGTAGAGAGAATACATACACTTAAATAGATAATTTTTCATTACTTTAGGCTCCTATTGGCATTGATAATGTCTCAGAATGGCTTAGAATTTAGGGAATAGTTTGGAGAAAAATGAACAGGTCAAATATAGTATTTAGTGAGTGTATATAAATGCCATCCAGGGCCAGTATGATTATTGCAGCTTCCATTAAATTAGCAAGCAATTACTGTCTGTTCATAATGTGCTAGGCAAAGCTTGAAGTCCCCTCCTGTGATAAGTTACTTAAATCCCCATGACAATGGGAATTGCTATCTCCATTTTACAGAAAGTGGAACTAAAGCACAGAGAGGTTGAGGAACTTTCTCTTAGGATCATGGTGCTAATCACAGAACTAGAATACAAAGTACATGGTTATGGTTCTTCACAAAGACGACCCTGTACTGCAGCTGTAATGGGGGAGCAAAATGGAACTCAGGCCTGAATGGAAAACCTACCTAGCAAACAGGCTGTACATGGTTAATTAGCTTACCTGTTGGGTATTATGTTTTCAGGGTTGTCTAGTTGATAGTTTAGGAATAATTCAATTCTAGAAATAGTCTAGGAATACATGGTTGAACAAATAATGTTATGATACCATGCTCAGTGTAATACATAATGTGTTTTAGTTCTGTAGGACCTCATTGCAAAATGATATGTACTTTTTATTCTTCCTTTTTGAAGTAAACTAATTCACCTCATGAACAGTTGGACATACTAGGTACTTTAACCCGTGTTACACACTTTTGTAACACGGGTTAAAGTTTCGAATACCATCTCATTGAAGTACTGGGGCATTCCACTTTTAAATCTCCATCTCTCATTCTGACCATTTTGCGATAGGAATTGTATGGAATTCATCCTAAAAAATGTCCTGTTTCACTGAAGATGTTACTTATAATTATGTCTAAATGTCATTTGTCTTCTAGAAAACACAGTTAAGAGAAGAGCCTAAGGATTTCAGAGAAGGAAACGAAGGGACTTTCTCATCCCCGGTTCACCCGAATGTGCACCATACAGTCTGGTGAAGGTGACAAGAAAGGAGGTATTTGTGAAATCCATCCATGCAGTGACATCCTTACCTCTCTAACACTGAGGCCATTGTAGATGTTTTTTCCAGCCCTCTTTTCACCATCTACATATCATGATGTGCCTTGGCAGGTCTTTTACCTAATATTTAACCCTCAAAGATGCTGAGATGGAGCTGAGCATATAGTACAAACAGAATGAATGGCAGAAAATAAGTGCAAAGAGAAACATTTAACCTCAGGAAGACAGACAAATAGGCCTTCCTTAAATTGATATAGAACTATTGGATCATTCTTTACATGATTGTTCCTTCTTAATTTTAGTAAAATATTTCAGTTTGGGGGAAATACCTTTCCTCACCAATAAGATATAAAAAGAGAACAACCTGGGGTGCCTGGATGGCTCAGTTGGTTGAGTGTCTGATTCTTGATTTTGGCTCAGGTCATGATCCCAGGATCATGAGATTGAGCCCTGCATCGGACTCCATCCTAATCATAGAGCCTACTTAAGATTCTCTTTCTCTCTTTCTTTCTCTCTCTCTCTCCTCTATATCTCTCCCCTCTGTCTCTCTCTCTCCTCTCTCTCTCTCCTGCTCTGCCCGCCCCCTACTCACACATTCTTTCTCTAAAACTGAAAAAAAGAGAGAACAACTTTTAATGATTTGCAGCTCTTCCTCCTGAATTTCATGCTAATTTTATTTCTCTCCCTTGTCTTTATACTTCTTTCTATGCAAATCATTCTTCTATATTTCTTCCAATGTATTTTTCATGAAGAAAACATAGTAGAAAAGTGGAAAATCAAAGGTAAGCAGAGCAGATCAGGGCAGAGCTTCACCTTTCTCCATGAAGTGCTTTCAAACTTCTTTAGATGTAATGCTCTTGAAGGCAAGAAACATGTCTATTTTATCTTTTTTGGTATGTGGAACATATTAGGTGCACAGCAAATTATCTGACTATATCAATTAATGAGCAAACAAGAATGGATGAAGAAAGTAGATGTGTTCGTAAGGCTCTCAAAGAAGATTTATAGAACATTTTGGAAATGGGCCCACTTTGTTTCCGAAGGAAATTTTACTTTCAAATTAAAAAAAAAAAATTACCCAAATGAGATTTTGGGGGATTTCATGTGATTAACTCTTTACATTATCTTGTAGTAATTATACAGAAATCTCTATTTATGTAAACATGGTGAATGCATCATAACACTAGAATAAGTGTACAAATACTGCATGTCAAATTAGGTTATAATCACTTTCAAGGGACGTGATTTCCTAGTTAAACAGATTCGTTTACATCTTGCAAAATAAAAAATAAGTGAAAATAACCATATAAAATCAGGCTTACAGCTGGACAGATCTTCTTGGCAATGGTCCAAGCGCTGAGCGGCGCGGGGGGTGGGGGGAGGAAGCCCCTCCAGCTGAGGGATTCTCAGGAAGACCAAGATGACTCTGTAGGCTTGGCCCAGACAGGGGCCTTAGGCTGCTGTCCTGACTGCTCTCTGTCCCTGGCTGCCTGTGGGGAGGTGGGCTGTCTTCACATTTCAGATGAGACTCTCCACTGTGAGGGGTTTGGGAAAGGGTGGGGGAGGGAATGGAAACTTGCTTGGTAGAAGAGAAAATGAAGGCAGTTCAACATTTTACCCATAGGTAAAAACCATAATAAAATAAGTCAGGGATCCTCTGACTAAAAAGCAAATTGGCAAAGTAGCATTGGAATCATAGTTTAGAGTCAGAGTTTGAGAACCACAGATCATCTGGGTCCAGTGCTTATAATACAGATAAGGAAACTGGGCCAAGGTGAGAAGCAGCATGAGAATGAGACCCATAACTCGTCTTCCCAAATCTGGTACTTGCTTATGAGAGGACTGAAGCTCACCTTTTCAAGGGAGATGACTTTTGAAAAGCTGCTCATTTCGATGCATATTTTTAAGAAATACCTTTCACATTGCCCTGACTTAGCCAACACTTTCTGCAGTGCTGCCTTATTTCATTTGCGGAAAGGCATGTTGTAAACCTCAGCCAGACATGACATGTAATATGGTGCCATTCCCTATGGCTAATCATACATAGTTTGGCCTTTCCCTAAGCTTTGGTAAGCAGGAGCCTTGGGTTACCTTTTCTCTGAGTCTCCATCATATTCAGCTTCTACTTAATTTTGTTGATTACAAGAAGTCACCAAAGCCGTGATTTTTTTTTTTAACCCATGAATTCTGACTTGGATATAGCTCCACATTCCTGTGATTGAGTCAATTTTTTTTTTGTTTTGTTTTGTTTAGTTGGTACTCATGTTTGTTTAAAATATTTGTTGAATACTTGTTCTATGCCATGCTGTGGGTACATTAGCTTCTTCTGGTGTTCCATGGGTTGAATTGTCCTGAGCAAGTCTTGGCAAACTATGGCCTGCGAGCCAGATCTGGCCTACTGCCTGTTTTTTGTAAATAAAATTTTATTGGAAGACAGTCACACTCATTTGTTTGCATATTGTCTATAGCTGTTTTTGCACTACAACAGCAGTGCTGAGTAGTTGGGATGGAGACTATATGGCCCATAAAGACTAAAATATTTGCAATTTGCCCCTTAACAGAATATTTTGCCAACTGTGGTCTTGAGTGTGAACACTTGATTGTCTGGCTAGCTTGATAAGAGAGCCCAATAAAATAGATGACACTAAATCAGCCACTCCGAGCGCTACTCACTCTCAAGGGTTTGTGGCCATGAGTCATAACCATGGCACTAGGCAGTGGGAGAAACCTGGCAAAATAGTCTCCTAAGAAATACAAGCCTTCTCCACATTCATTTATTTTCAAGCCCTGTTCCTAGAACCATCCCTAATCTGTACTAATACTACAAACTTGTAGCTTTTGCATTACAAATTTATTGTTATTTCTTTTACCTCCTTTTTTTTCAGGGAAAAGGTAATTAGGCTATAAACAGAGGCCTGACAACTAATTTCAGTCAAGGCAAAATTAATACAAAGCAAGCAGATAATTTTAGTCACGTGAAATTAAAATAGATATTTTTTAATGACATTCTAAAAAAGAATATTCTGAGTCTATTTTTTTCCCCTTTGTTTTCCCCTACCTCACCCGGTTCTCATGTAATCCCCTACTTGTGCAGGTAGTGACATGTGCTAATTTAGGTGAACTACCAGCCCATGGCTATAGCTGTCCTCACGGCTCCTTCTTTCTGTCCTTACTATTGATCTTTGGATGGAGACCTGCTTCTTCTCTCTCCTTCTCAGGGATTCCTGTACACTGAAAAGACAGAACATCTGAGGGAAAGGTAGTCACTGCCCACCCCTGACATTTCCAAATTTTCATGGACATTAATAAGAGCCCATTCACTAAATCTATTTCAGAACTTCAAAAATTTAAACATTAGTGCCGCCGTGGGTGTGTGGGTGTGTATTTCTGGGGGGAGATTCCAACGTTGCTGTGTTCTGTCACTCCGGGAACATATAAAATATGCATCTCAATGTCAGCAACACCTTGAGATGCTATCTCCAAAATTATCACCTGCCTTCTGAAAACCATAACCCTAAAAATATTGATTGGTTAAAAGGCAGGATCTGAAGGAATGAGCCAGTGTCTCTGTGAATTATCCTAATCAAATAAAGATAGTATTAACCTAGATACTCCCTGATCTGCCAGTATTTGGTTTGAAATGTAGGCATCTCAACTGAAGTTATGTGTTTCATTCTTTTGAATATTTCTCCCAGACATTTAAATACATTACCACTAAGCCAGAACCAAGAAAAGCATAAAAAGCATTTTAGGGAATAAATTCAGCAAGTTTCCATTTGTACCAGATAGTAAAATTGTTGACATGCATTATGAGGCAAGTGTATTTTTCAGCCTGTCAGGTCTCAGTCACGTGTTCCAGGTGGAATATTTTGGCTGCTAAGGGTTATGCAGGAAGGTCTCAGACCATTTAGGTAGTAGTGCTTCCTAATAAAAAGAGAATTTCCAAGTCACCTGGCATAGATATTTAGGCAAGTCGGAAGAAAAGCTTATTTCATTAATTATGCTATAAATGTAACTTCAATGAAGGGTAGCCAGCTAAATACAAGATGAAAGGGCTGGTAGGGATTCTCTCCATTGAAGTGTTGAGCTTTACACAATTTTATTTAGAGGTACTTCCATTACTAAGGAGGCTATGAGTTGATCGACTGTGTCTTAGAATTAACTACAGTGGTGAAAACACAAATTGCAAACCAGCATGAAGTCACAAAGGGAAGGGAGAAAAGAGAAGAAGTTAAAGTCGGGGACTCGTATGTACTCTTCATTTTCCTTTAGGAAAGAAGTATCAGACCAGCTGCCCGGAGTCCGACATTAGCCGGAGCGAACCTAATTACTGTTAGGCAAGAGAGCCTAATGCGACGTGCTGCATACACGGCCTTCCATTCCATTCTTGTTCGCTTCTGGTTTCAGAGGAGCCTGGAATTTCATTGGAGGCGAAGGATTATGTTCCCTCTGCTCGATACTCTAGGATGAAATACGATTGGTAAGGAGAGAGAGGACCTGGCCAGGAAATTATTTGTGTGGGCACCAGAGGAAGGTTCCATTGCTGCACTGGGTGTACAGAGGGAAGAAGTCCCCGAGGGCTTGGAGAGCACTTAGCACCCTCACCAATTCTGAAGCCTTTTGTGGGCGCCCCTCATTCCTGCAGGGACTGTCAGTCCCAGCCTTGTGGGTGCTTCCTTTGTCCTCCCCAACGGAGAAGGCGAGTGCAGATCAAAAGCTTTAATGCTCTCAGTGAGTAATACTACTGTTTTTCCCCTTTTTTCCTGATTCATTGGCTGATTTTTCTCAAGATTCAGGGCTCAGAAAAATAATTTAAGTTTCCCACAGATGACTGGGATGCAGTTTTTTCATGAAAACACTAAATCACAGTCTATCGAAGGGTAATGCTCTGTACTCTGTTATGCAAATCTTTGTGTTTCCTATGGTGACATCAAGACACTGTTGGTGACTAAATTGTTAAATAAACACTGAAGATACTCTGCTTTTGTTCATATTTCCCTTTCAGTTTGCCAATGACTTTACAACTATTTAGTTCTTTTGCTGTTAGAAGATAAGCCCACAGCAGAGCAAACTTTATTCTCATTATAGACACGAGGAAACATATTCCATGGCAAAGATTTAACACAGATTAGGTGTCTGGTGATTGCCAGATTCTTGACTAAAACTCATAACTCTAGATTTGTAAGCATTATGCTAAGTTTCCCGCCAGCCCATAACATCTTTGAAACATCTATCCAAACGTGGAAAATGTGTTTTTTACTGGCTTTTGATCTCTTGAGATTCCAGATCAGAGTAAAGCCCATTGAAAACCCCAAGGCATGTCCCAGTTGCTGGAGGTAGTGGTGGGCTGGATGGCTCTGCCCCCACAGGCCAGGGGAGACCATCCCTTCCCACCTCAGGTTCAGTGATGTCATGTCACTAGCTTGAATTTGGCCCCAACAGCAGTGTTTACACCGTGGAAATTGTCGAGCACCTCAAATCAGAGAGAGGTGGTTAGTCACCTCCCAAGGGAGTTGGTCGCCAACTATCTATCAGCATACCACTCGTTAGAAATCTGGGCATTTGGCAAAAAAACTCGCATCCAGGTTCCTTGATGCTCAGGATATGTTCCAATGTGCTTGATTTGTAAGACAGTAAGTTTCTTTGTAAAACCTTTTAAGTATATCCTTTTGCAGTCTTTTGAAACTGCACTTAGGAGAACATCAAAGTATCTTCGTGGAGAGGGAGAGTGAGGTCTGGGAATAAAATTAGCTACTTGTTTAAGGCTATGGGTGTTTGTGAACATGCAAGTGTGCTTTAAATTACACATAATTTTAAACAACTGTGTAAAAAGAGTTTTAAAAGTTTAATGGTGCTGAACCATGAATAGGAATTAAAAATTCAAAAGGAAATACAAAACTATACCTTGTTTTTCTGCTTTAAAAAATAAGTTCCCTTCTCATTTGCAATTAAGATGGAAAGATTTGCATAAAATGTGTAAAATTAGAGATAATTGAACTACAGTAGCTATAAAAGTAGCTTTTCCACTTCAAAAATAAATCAGATGTCCACTAAAAGGGTGTAAGAGCCATGCCCCCCCTCCCCCACCTCCCTCTCACATTTGGGTCTCTGGTATTTTTCACACTTTTATAGCTGATTTTTATTGCCAAACAATCCTTGGAGTTTGTGGCAGTTTGGAGACAGCAGCTGGCCCAGGCAGGCCTGTTAACTCTGGCATGTTAAGGACCCTTCAGAAGATTTCAAATCCAGCCTCAGCACCCAGGTCAGTAGATCAAATCCAGGGAGACCTTAGGGAAGCTACAAATGGGGGTGGGAGGAAAAGGGAACATGGGGAGAAAGGAAGACAAGAAAAGCCAACGTACAGAAATGCCTTTAAACTAAACATCAATAGCTGTTTTTGTTTCCCCCGAACCAGCATTTTCCCCAGGGAACCTCCAGTTGAAAAGGGCCAGCCTGGAAGAGAGTGCGCCAATGATCAAAGTGGCCGCATATGATGGTCCCAGACTGATGCCTGTCTTCCCACTGAAGGAGACTTTCTTCCCTGGATGAGATCCAGCCTCCGCTCTGAAGGTAAGCTGGGGAGCAGCCCTGAGTAACTTCAGGAAACACATGCTGGGCCAATTCCCAGCGGCCCCTGACAGAGGTGGGCGTTGCCTCTCCCAGCGGGGGTCCAGGCCTGTGACGTTGCTCGCGCCCTCGGTGTGCCATTCATTTGCTGCTCTCCAGAGCCAGTTGTAACACTCCTTACTGGTAGGGTATTCTTTCCGGTGACTCATCTGTCCTCTTCCTCAAAACCATAAGCACTTCAAGGACAGAGACTATGCCTGTCTAAGCAGAGCGCTTGCGGGGAGGGGAAATTTCACAGAGATGAGAAGTGATATCGAAAGTGCCCACGTGGGGAAAAATGTTGAATTCTCAGAAATGTGACAAAGCTCTCAAAGGGATATAAATGGAAAAATGCTAGCTGTAGTTCTCTACCTTCTAAGGCTGAGTACAAAAATCACAGTATTTTTTTAAAAAAAGTCATCGTAATAAGTAAAAACAAAGATAAGTGGTCTCTTCAAGAGGAGTGAGATCTCTCATGCTAAGCCATTTTATCTGACCCTCGAACATCTGCTCCTGCCACGCCTATGTGTTATGCAATGGATCCCAGAGCATCTAGGAGGTATGTTAAAAATGTTGGTTGATTTGAACCCAGAGCCTTCATGGTCAGCTCTGTCTGGAGAGGCCTTTCCCAGTCATAGACCTGTGCTGCTAACACTCCTACTCCATCTCCATTCTATCTCTTTAAAATAAGTAACAGAAAAGATCCTGCAGTTCCCTTAACTCCTACCCTCTTTTGTAAGTTATTAGCTGATTTGATAATAGGGAATCAGGTTATTGATTTAGTGTGTGACCCCTGGCTGGTAGTGTGCTTGCCTTCTACTTGAGGTATCCTAGAGATGATATGTCAACTCCTAGTAGCACTTCTGATGGCATCAGAGGTCAGTGGCAGAGAATATTGGCAGGGTGCAAATATTCTGAATCTCAGCAAAACTTGACTACCCAGAGAGAGCTCTCTTCTCCATTTTTCCATTAGGCCAACCTGGATGTGCCCCCTGTTAGCCACAGGGATGTCCATTTTCCTTACACTATGGCATGTCCATTTCCCAAAAAGAATCAACATAAACATAAAATGACTTTTACATATCCTGTTTCCTATGCAAAGGTGTGTGGCTAAAACCTGATTCACATTTCATAACACATATAACATAAACATAACTAATGCGAGTGGCGTACGTTCATTCTTTATGTACTCCAACCCAAAGTTCTTAGCACGCCAGAGCAAAGAAGGTCTGGAAGTGTTCTGTGAAGTTGTGCATCTTGAAGAATGAGGAATACAGAGGGGCCAGAGAGGATGGCAGTGCTGTGCATGACATCTGGAGCTGGTCATTGGCACCCAAGGGTGAAGAGAGCTGGAATACACACCACCATTCCTTTCCTTGTGCCCGCTGGCATCTCCTGTGACTTCAGAATCTTTCTCAGCACACTGTTCCCAGAAGCAGCTAATAGAGGTTGGCCAGAGCAGGAATGCTTCTTTGGCACTCTTGATATTTATCATAGGAAAGTATGGTAAAGAGTGCTGGAAGTAGAATGTGCACGTTTCTGGATATTTTCTTCTAGTTGATGAGTATAATCTCTTCCAAACCTTGGGAAAGACTTGTGCTTTATAGATATTTAATTTTGTTATTTTCTTCCTAATTATATTCCACTACCAGCTTTTCAGCCTGTTTACATGGGTATGTAAAAATACAAAACTAGCTTCCATTTAAAGCGAGAAAAAAAAGAAAAAGAAGAAAATGAAAATATGTACCATAGGATCTTCAGAGCTCCTGCCAGTGGACCTCAGACTTGGATTTCAATTTTCTAGCTCTCTGTGATCAAAGACTGTCCTTCACAAACCCATTTGATGACGGCAACAACAAAGACAGGAGCCCCACAATGCTTGAGGTCATGGAGGGGCATCGTGGCACATTTGGGGCCACCTTACCTTCGTCTTCAGGGTCAGAGTGTCCCTGAGTGATTACTGAATGTCCCTTACCATCTGGTAGGAAATGACAGCTTAATGCCTTCTTTCCAAATGAGAAACTTCCACCTTCATGGAAGCAATATAAATTCTACTCAACTCAATATAAATTCTATAACTTTTCAAGAGTCTTTTTGTTTAATATGGAAACTTCAAGCACAGGACCCTGGGCATTTTCTTTCATCAGCATGATTCTAATTTTATCAGAGCACTAAAAAGAATTCTACGTGGCTTTTTTCTTGTCCAGTACTCCACTTGCTCTGAAGCACATTCAAAAGCCACCTCTCTGATTTGAAGACGTCTCCGTGGAATTATGTAATTGGACCAACGGTTGCCGGTTCTCCACACTCTTGCTACTTTGCGTTATTGCAGAGCAGACTACTGTTTTGCAGACCTTCCTTATTGCGTAAATGGCTACATTATCACTGTGTACACATTAGGACAAGCAAATGGGCCCCTTATGGCAAATAAGGGTTCAAATAACCCAGACAAGGTAGCCCAACTGAATTGAGGATTCACCCTTGTTACAACCTTACTGCTTTATGGCACATGAACTAGTGGAAGGGACAGACTGCTTCAAGTGTGCTTCTACTGATCCTGCTGGCAAATCACAGCTTTATTACAGTAATGAGCCTGACCATATTTCTGTGCTTATGCATATTAGGCACCAAATGTATTTTCTGGCCTGCCAGCCTGTGGTAGTAACTAACACGAGCAATTTGTCCTGGGTTACAGTGTGTGTGCATGCATTAGGTATGAGCATGTTAGTTGCTTTGGGTTATAAAATACTACATGTTTCATCATGCATATTTTTATATGCACAACTTAACTGTATGCAAAATAGCTTGGCAATTAACCAACACAACTTATTAGTTTACTACAAGATTATTGCATAAATATGTGAATTGGGGACAACCACAATTTCAATTTGGCAATAAAAAATCTTGCTGGATTATTAAATATCTAAAGAAAAATGGGATCTTTTTTCCCCCCTCTATGGTATAAGTGTTAAGGTTCTTTAAAAAAAATATCTTGATTCTTCTCCCATTTTCATTTCCATAAATAACCCTGAGCGGGACCTTTTTTGGGAGGCTGTGGGATTTGTGTGAATTCTCTCCTATTCATTGTGAGCTGACATTTGGCCTTCGACCCCATCAGCTTTCAGGCAAAGGTGAATGGTCATTATCGTAATTTCTTCCTCAGGATCATATTTTATGTATGCCAGTTATTGGGCCCATGATTATTAAAAAGTAACATCAGCGAAATTCAACTCAACCACTAAAGACAGTGTGTATCTTTCCTCTTCTGTCTTTCTGTTGACCATTGGGATCGTAGAGCTCAGTGCTGTTGGCTTGTGTTACCGCCTAGGAGACGTACAGGGCTTACTCCAAAAATGCAGACACAGGGAACCATGTCTCCCTGAACTCTTCATTAAAATGAACTCTTTCTCCTGCTTTGCTGCAAGACAAAAAATGAACAAAACATAAAGTATGGAATTTAGGATTGGTGCAAAATAAAGGGTTGGCTTGTTGGGAGGCTTCTGCTAAGGGAATGGCTGCTCTTGCTACTTCCGCACACGTCACATGTTGTAAGGTGTCAGAGAATTACTTTCTTCCTCCATTCAGGTTGGATTTATGTAAATGACTGCACAGGAGAGGTGGCTTTATTTAGTTGCTACTAAAGCTGGAATCATGTTGTACAAGAGCTGATAACATGAAATAACACGAAATAAGTGGGCTTATCCCTTCTGAAGCTTGTTTTACAGTACTGGTATTTCTCTTTAGCAAATCCTGATGCGTTTTTAAGTAATACGATAAAACAACATAAGTGTCTTTGTGGCTAAAACTGATTGTTTCAGAAGAACATGGCCGTTTTATTCTTGTCCTTTATCTCCCCTACGCTGAATTTTTGAAAACATGGCCAGCTCCCTGGCCTGTGTGTATATAAATAGGCTATTTGCGTATAGACCCCCCCCCCATAATCATTCATGCATCGAAGAGAGGGAGCATGGGAGGGAACCCCATGCTGATAATAGCAGCACCCCAAATCAATATAAAACCAAAACCGAATGTGCCTTTTGCAGTCCTGTCACAGATTAATATGGCTCCTGATAGATACTTAGTTGCCTGACAGTTTCCTCTGCACCTTCGCTGGGAAGTTGATAGAAATTACTCCAGCTGAATGCTTAAAGCAGATGTTATCCCATTAATTAGCTCTGGACCCGGGTACACTCGAGACTTTCCCATTTTCAGGCCGAAAGGAATTGGTCCCAGTGAGCGTGCTCTATATCCACATTTAGTATCATCTCATAAACAGCAGTGAAAACACAGCAGGCCCTTGATGAAGATACATTAGCTTATTTCTAATTTAAAGTTATGTTGCTTAACCTTAATGTAATTGGTCACCGGTGGCCAACTGTTTGTATAGTGTGTTGATGACCAAAGAGATGTAATAAATTATAAAACTCTCTGCTTAAATGGAGGGAACGACTGTTTTGTTAAAAGCTTTGCATGTAATAATGGTAAAATAATTACACCTCAAGCCGAATAACTGTGAAGCTGTTAATACTAACAACAGAGTTGTTCTCAGGATAGCTCTGTTCATCCCCATTTAAAAGAAGTACGGAAACCTGGCTCTTAGGTTTAGCAAAAGAGTAACTTTGAAAGTTCAGTCTCACCTTGATTAAAATAAATGGCTAAGTCGTCCTGTTATCTTAGTTGGGGATGATGGTGATGGGTAGTAAGGTGGTGGGGTGAATTGAAATAACCAACTAGTATGGTTAACTAGGAGACAAAAAGCACAAACCGGTTCGTAGTCACTGCCAGACACGTCTTTAAAGAAGACTTGATTAGCTGCTGGAAAAACTGGGATAATCATCAAATGTGAAAGTAATTGACACAACTTTAATGTTTAATAATGAATAGCATGCCAGGGGCAAAATAAAGGGAAACTGTCTTCTTTTCTCAGAACAAGTTCTGACTTAAAATGTCTTAGGCCACATATA